GTACCCAAAGCCATTTATAAGCTGACCCCACGCAAGGCCACATGAAGTGGTTTGATGTTTTTTAAAAATATTTAACTAACTTTTCCCTTTTGAAAAGTAATGACTTTGATACAGCTGAGCCTGCCCCATGCATGGGTCCCCTACTTCCTCCCTATACCCATTCCCCAGTATCCTGTCATAGCTGTGAGAGGACCCTTCTGAAATCTCAGCTGATACATCTGCCTACAAGCTTGCTCCTGTGTAGAAGCATTTAATCTTGCCTTTTGTGCTTTTATAGGGAAGTTTCACACTTCCTGTAGGATATGTACACAGCTCCATGAGGTCCTACTGAGCTTACTCAGCTAACATGTATCTATCTCTAAGTTTGAACAGGACAGTGGAAGACATCTTGAATGCAAATCTTTGTGGCTCCGCAGTGGCCTGATCGCTCTATAAATCCACGTGGTCCTGTGAAGTGTAGTGTGAGCCTAGTGTCAGAAAAGAGGAGCAGGGCTTCCCTGGTGGCACAGTGGTTGAGAATCTGCCTGCCAATGCAGGGGACACGGGTTCGAGCCCTGGTGTGGGAAGACCCCACATGCCGCGGAGCAACTGGGCCCATGAGCCACAATTACTGAGCCTGTGCGTCTGGAGCCTGTGCTCCGCAACAAGAGAGGCCGCGATAGAGAGAGGCCCGCGCACCGCGATGAAGAGTGGCCCCCGCTTGCCACAACTAGAGAAAGCCCTCGCACAGAAACGAAGACCCAACACAGCCATAAATTAATTAATTTAAAAAAATAAAAGAAAAGAGGAGCAGCGGTGGTGACGCACCATCTGACCATCAGGGAGGCAAGAGAACGGATTGCTGAGCAGGAGGGAGGCCTGGCCATGGGAGCTGGAACCAGGTTCCAACTCTACAATCATAGTAGTTCATTTCTGAGGTGAGATTATGTACACCTCTCAGAAAGTTTATTTTTAAGGGCTTATGTGACGTAAAACAGTGAATTCCTACCAGTGCCATCTGAACACTTGGTAGGCAGTAGAAATGATTATTGAGTCAATGGACAATTTATTATCTCGTGGAATGTTTTTAATGCCCTCACTGGTCCCATTTTATTATGCTGATTGAAAAATTGAGGCTTTTCTTCTTTGGGATTATGGATTTTGCTAAACCTCTGAGCCTCCCTTATTCCGTTACCACCCCTAACTGGTTGAGGAGAACACCCTCTCAAACCCTGTTGAAAGTGTGGGTTAGGTGCTTGGAAGTGGGGTGACACGAGAAGCTCTCATCATTGCATTCCTTTTGCAGTTAGCAGTTTCATCTGTTTTTTCTTTTTACAACCTAAGATACTCGTGCTTTATTTGTGGTTAATTATGCGCAGTTAAATTTTTTCTTTCTCTCCTGGATTCTCGGAATTGTCTCAAGTTTTAGGGGGAAAAACTTGACTAGTCTCACTTCTTCTTCTGGTGCCCCCTGAGCCCTGTGCTTGAATACAATGAGGTCACTTTGTTGAAGGATTAACTTTATATTACATTCTTGCAGAGTAGATGTATGTCCCTAAGGTACGACTACCCCCACTGATGAAAACAAATATGCCATTCTTTATGATTCCTCCCCGTTACTCTCTCTGTTGATTTTCAGAGAGTTTATGAATACTCACATATTTATACAACTGGCCAAAAGTATACTACTTATTTTTCTTATGGTCTGTAATAACCTAGGCAATGTTATTAAAGGGTATACAGACCCTTTTTCAGGCAAAGTTTCTTATGTCATTACTTTAAACAAGCAGGTCAGATTCCATCCTGGGAACACTCTCTTGCTCTTAACCTTTTTCTCCGATTATAAAAGTAATATATGTTCATTGTGGAAAATGTAGACAATGCACAGCCTAAAGAGAAGGAAGAAAAGCACTTCAAGACTCACTTCCTAGAAATAACTACTGTTAGGCAGTTTATACACAGAAACCTTTTCTGTATTCTCGGTATATGTTCATTTTTTGAAAAAGTAACCGTATTGCACATATGCTCTTGTAATCTGCTTCTTGACATAGCAATATATTTTATGCCAGTAAATTTATTTTTCCAAAAGCATTGCTTTTGAGGACTGCATCATATTCCTATGGGTGTGCCGTAATTTAACCATCCCCCTCCCTAGACAGTTAATCTGTTTTCAGGGTTTTTTTTAAAGTAACAATCTCTATCAGATGGCCCCTCTCACTCAATAATTGGTTTAGTTTTTTTCTTTAGTTACTGCAATCAGAGAAATCATCAGGCACCTTTGAATTTAAGACAACGAACTTTGCTTGCATATCTTTAGCGTTACCTGTGTTTACAGCACTCGACAATGCCATTGTAATACTCAATATGGAGATTGAGGGCAGGTTAATATAGTAAAAAATACGAGTGTAGAGCAAATCATAAAGGCATGGGAAATAAATTAAAAGCCTTTGTCCCTCTACTGAAATATTTCCTCTCACATAGCATACTTCCATAGACTAGATGCTTATTTTTCTTTGAATAATGAGTTTCATATATCTAATTCAATTACTCTTTCTGGCAGCAGAATGACTTCTCCTGAGCTCTTTAGCTATTAGTTCCATATGATATTTGAATCAGTTCTTTTAATTGTGGATACTGAATGTCAGTCATTCTGTTGTGAGTTGTTCCTATGGTCAGAGAAACGTATCCTCCCCACCCCATACATCAGTCATTCAATTAACAACCATGGGTTTCTTGACACAGTAGGAATTAATTCATTATGCAAACAACTGAAGGGGTGGGTCAACAAGTCAAGTTTTATTGGTGGCTTACACTGAAAAATAAAACCAAGAATTAGAATTTTCAGGATGCTGAATCCTATCTTCAAGTGTTAAAATGATACATTTAATTGCCTAAAGCTCTTTTTATGGTTAAACATCTTTGTTGGCGATTAGCATTATGGGTGGGAGATAGATGTGATACACAGCTTAACCTGGGTGCTCATTCCTGTCATTCTCGGGCATTTCCTTATTAAATACTGGGATTTTATGAGTCACAGCTTCCCTGTGTAAAGAATTGTATGGCTTTTTCTCTACAAGTCTAATTTGAAAAAAAAAGAATTTTTCTCAAGGGTTTAGAAAGTAATTCATGAAATGGGAGGAACAATAAATATTGTGCCTTAACTCATGTACCGCTATAGAGAGATTTGGTACACCTGGGTGTAAGTTTAGTTAATTTCCACAAGAGGCAGGTTGAAAGTTTACCGTTTGGAAGGGGGCGGGGAGAAGGTGGGGGAAATGGCTAAACCTCATATTTGCAAAAATGATTACATTGTCTTAAATGGCTACTCTATTAACAGCTTCAACAAGCATTGCATTTGGGAAAAAAGATCTTAAAAAAAGTTACCTGACGTTCACTCCAACTTAAAATATACAAGTGAGGAAGAAGTACTTACTCTGATTTATATGTCTTTTGGAGGTGTAATTATTGGCTTTTTACTCACCTATGTAAAACAATGTACTTTTGTAAATGGATTTCTGGCCACTTTATGCAGCCTTTTTTTTTTTTTTTTTTTTTTTTTTTTTTTTTTACATAAAAAGTAAGCACTGTCAATCAAGGAATTTTAAGGTTTATTTCCTCTTTAGAAATGATTGATAGCCTTTTAGATTTACAAGTTGACAAGTTAAAGGGTTCTATTGGTATAATTATGTACTAAATTCACAGTCTTTCAATTTAAATGTCCTTTTAAAACCATGAGATTATCATACCTGTATTTTGAAAAGTGGGCCAGTCAGTTTGGGTTGGTATACAAATTGCTTCCATTAGCCTTGGGACCTATTTGAATTTAATACAGTTTTTTAAAGTTAGTGGTAGTATGGATCTTACTTTTAAAATTTAGGTTAATGGAAATGCATTTTAAGTAAAGCATGTGGCAACTTGTTTTCTAAATGTATATAGCTAAATGTCAGAACTACAAAGACTGTCTTTTTATTCAGTATGGGAGAAAATATGTGGTTGAGTACTTTGGTTACATGAAAAAAGAAAAGAAGAAAAAAACCCACTCATTACTGAGAGGAGATGGGGGATGTGGGTGGAGGATGGAGCCGCCATCTTTTCCTGGTCAGGCGAGGAAAGCTGGAGGTACTTCATATCCTGGGGAGGAATTTCAAAAGTGATACACCAGAGTCCACTTTGTATCGAGTTGAATTTAAGGATGCTTTGAAGAAGGTGTAATCAATATGGGTACAAGAAGGCCCACTGTCTCCAAATATTACTACAGGTTTGCTCTTCTTTTAGTCTTTTAAAAAAATTCTTCTTGGAGAGCCAGCTGCTCTGAGCTAGTGCTCCGTAGAGGTTAGCCTTTTCCTGAAATAATATTGATATTGGTGAATCAGTCTTTCATCTTAGATATGAGGGTGTCGTATCAAGGGCACTTTCAATACCTGTCTCTTTTCGGACTCTTCCAAGGGTAGAAGAGGCTTTCTGGCCCGAGGAGATGTGGTCTCCTCTGCCCCACCACACTTAATTGCTCCCGATGGCATTGCGACACTGTATCAGCTGAGGTCCACTTGATATTCTGTAGCTAAGCAAGTACTTTTAATTCTGCTCTTCATACCTGTAGATACCCTCCAGTGTTGTAACTCAAGCTTCTGACTAAAGGGAATCCTAAAACCTCACACCAAGTTCCATTTTACCTTCCATTTTCAACACTGTAAGGAATATAGAATTTGGCCAGAAGAGCAGAGTTTAGGACCTGCGACTCATGTTCTTTTGAGTGAGTCAGTCCCCACCAAAAGGGATCATTCGTCCAATCACTTTATGATCTAATTCAAAAGTCTCAATGAAACTTTCGACTTCCCAGTTATTTCTGCACCATAAGTATTGCAAATCATGTGCTGTTTTATTTCCTGAAATTGTTCTAATTGTACGACTTCTTCATTGCAGCACTCAATGAACCCACCATCGATTATGGTTTCCAGAGGTTACAGAAGGTTATTCCCCGGCACCCTGGCGACCCTGAGCGCTTGCCAAAGGTAGGATACCTCCTCTTTGGGTTAGGGTCTCTGGAAACACGGGCTCAGGTGACTGGCAGAAAACTTTGCCATTGATAAAAGTTAGTTCATAGATAAGCAACTCAATATTTTTGTGCATTGTGTGTTTAGTATTATAAGGTAAGCAATAATCAAAGTAGCAAGCACTTATGTGCCAGGTAATGTTTTACTTATATCATGTCATTTCTTCCTCTAAAAAACCCTCTGAGGTTGGTGCCATTACCACCTCTATTTTAGAGAAGAAGATAACCAAACAAAGAGAGGTTAAATCATTTGCCCAAGGTCACACAGCATGTAAATTGCTAAACGGAGATTCAAACCTCTAAAGCCTGGCTCCTAAGTCCAGGTTATTAATCATTATATCGTATCAGTTCTCAAGAGGAAAAAGAACATTGCTTTTCTACCCCCATGAGGATCTTTACTTATTTCTGGTGAGGGGAGAACAGCTAGAGCTCAAAGGAAAGCATATTGGCACACCTTGCACCGGGGCTACTAAGACATGAGTCTGTTCCCTCCAGAGGCATCCCACCTAAGACACAAGTGGGAGAAATTAGACACAAATTCAAGGTAGAGCAAGATATGTCATACAGCAATGGTATTAATTGCCAATGCAGAAAAAAAGGAAATGCACAGTTATTGGTTTCTATTCCGTACCTGTTGTCAATGTTGGGGATATTCCTATCTCTCTACCCAAGGAACTCGGACGCCCTGTGGGAGAGAAAGCCAAATACAACGCCATACAAAACAGAAAACAATAGGTACAACTAACAAAAGTGCAACCAGAGTTCTGGGAGGACTCAGAGGAGAGAACAGTTAAATGCTATAGAAGTTCAACGAACGGAATTGGTCGAGCTACCATTCACTGTTTACTGACAGCAAAATGAAATTTCATTTACTACACAAGTAAAAATTAGTATAAATTAAATGAGTAGAGGAAAGGTCCTCTCCATGCCACAGCAAGTCTAGAGATATGTCATGTCCAGGTCTGTTTCTGCTCGTAATACACTTATAAAAATGAAGTTGGCATCCTTCCTAGCTCCGCGAACCTCTTTGGGCGATCATTTCATCATCACATCTTACCTGTGGGCCCTGCTGCACTGAAGCGGCAGGACCACTGTCAGAACAGGCCTGTCCAGGAGAAAGCTGCCCCTCCCCGCCGAAACTGATGCACAGATGTGAGGCGCTGGGGGGTGGGTCTGGGGCACTGCCTGCCCAGAGAGAGGAAGAACCGTGACAAGCAAATTCTGCCCTCTCCTAGACCCCGGGGGAAGACCCACAGAGCCTTCAGTCTCAACCCTGAGTTCCCATAACAGCCTCACTTCCACTTGGCGCTGTTCACCTTAAAAAAACATCTTGAGAGCATTTCACCTGAGGAAGAAATCATATGATGTGTCGGTCCGTACATATCCTTGTCTTTGAAAGGGGCCTCCATCTTACACCTCCTTCCCTTTCACCCTGACTTATTCTTGGTGAGCAATTACAGAATCTAACAGTAATAGTGAACGGCCCTCTGCTTCCACAGATGGGTGTGCCATGAAGAGAATCACCTTTAGCTTCCTGTCTGGCAAGAACCCAACTCCCATGCATTTCCTATGGGAAAATAGTCGGTAATTTTATAGCACGAAGATGTAAATAATGTGTGTCCACCCAATGGTGGGAAGAAGCCATGAGGGCATTGCCAGATTCTTCCCATTGTTTCCATTTGAGGACCATTTTCACTTTCATTTGGCATTTGATGTCCCTAGAGTCTGCTGAAGGGACTGGAGAGCTCTGTGGTCTGGGTCAAAATTCTTTCTCCCCACCCCCCAAATTCTGAACCTCTCTGTGCCTCAGTTTCCTTGTCTGTCAAATGGAGATGGTAATACTTCCTACTTTTTTGGGTTGCTTTAATCACTCATTTAGCAGTCCACAAAAGGTAGCTATAATTATTTGCCAGTTGAGTGAGAGTGGGACCCTGGCTTCTGAGAGCTCTCCTACCCACTCTCTGCAGAGCAGGAAGTCCTAATTCAGGTCAGCAGTGGAGTGTATGGTTTATCTTCTGTGTCTCGGTTTCTTCATCTATAAAATGGGGGTGAAATAATCGTGCCAACTTCACTGGGATCACATAGGACAAAAAGAAGTAATCCTGTGGGAGCCTCAGCATAGTTTCTGGCCCACAACTGCCACTCCATAAATATTGATTGAAAAACAGGAGACAGATTTGGTTTAATGGCTGAGGTCTACAGCAGCCAAGCAATACTTTTCTTATTCATAAAGAAAGGAGAGAAACAGGACTATATGGTTGAGTTTTGTGTATTTACTTTTCATAACATTTTCACGGCTGCATATCACGTTCAGAAATGTTGACCAAATAGCACAGGCACGTGTCACTTTGTCTCCGGTGGCCTGATGGTGAAATTCCCAGCCCCGTTTTCCTGGGTTTGGGAAGAGTAATCAAGGACACAATGGGTTTGTGTGTTAAGGAAACACTCCACAGTGTGCATCCAGCCACTGGACCGTGCGAGGACTTTGGCCAGAGCCCACCCCAGGAAGCTCTCTGTGTGACTCAGATCAGAGTGGTGTCCTCTTGGCTCCGAATGTGAAGGTGGAGTGAGAGTTCAAGAGCAAGGTCAGGAAGTGGCGGATGGAGCCAGCACGAGGTATTCCTGTGGACCTGGGAGATTTATAGTCCCGCTGTCCATTGTTAGGGGGATGAAAACGGGCTCCGCCTTTCTTAGAATCATGGTCAGTGTTTGTAAAACAGGAGTGTTTCAGTGAGCCATGGACCACACACCTTAAAAAACAAACTCCACTTTATTAAACCCATGTGTTTGCGAATAGACAAAGCTAGATTCATACAACCACCCACATATTCTGTCAAATGAAACTGCTCCAAAGACCAAGCAGACAGCTTTCCATGATAATATGCCTTTGTATACTGGCTTGTGCTTTTTCAAAGAACTTGTACATGCGTTGTTTTATTGGAGCCCCTCTTGTGAGAGAAGTCGGGAAAGCAGACATCATTCCTAGTTACCAAACGAGAAAACAGGAGCAAGCCGAACCCTTCTCTGTAAATTATTTTGTCCCTGAAAGCCACCATCAGTGATAGTTGCTGTACACACAAATTTAAAATACTATAATTATGCCAACCCCAGGTGTGCTTTGGTTTCCTTTTTCACGTGCACGTGGAGAAGGGCAGGCGAAGGTTTTTCAGCTGCAGCATTCCATTCTGTGTCATACAGACAGACGTGCCTTCCTCTCTGGATCCTGGCAGGAGGGAGAGGAACATGTGACCAACTTTGGGGCAAAGGTTGACTTTTCTTATAATGTAGAGGTGCGGAGGATGGGGACTCAGAAACGCTGAGATGCTGAAATGCACGAGGCCATCCAGAAACACTGAACAAGGAGCTGTCTCTGTTTTGAAGGCCAGAGGTGTCTCTGTCCCCTTTCGATTTGTAGTTGTCTTCCTGAGTGGTCAGTGAGCATTAGCACAAAGGCACCGAGCTTGGCTGGCATTCCGTGTGTTTGCAGTGAATCCCAGGGAACAGGTAACCTTTGCGTCATGCCCTCGATGTGCCTGGCACGGCTTTATCAAGGTTTTTGAAGGGTATTGAGGCCAAGAGAGTGGGCTCTCAGGTCAGATGGACGTGGATTTTGAAAACCACTTGCACTGCTCCGTGCACGGGACTCACCCTTCTCAGCCCCCGTTTTCTCCTTTGTAAAGCAGCTGTCCCGCAGCGTGGCTATTGGGCGTTAATGAGATAATGTACGCAACGAGGACTCTCTGGCATATAGTGAGACTTCAGTAAATGGAGGCTACTATTCCCTGCAAGATGGGTACTCCCCATTTCACAGGGTCAGAGTTCCCAGAGGGCTGGTGGCATGCTACCACTCACAGCAAGCATATGGGAAAACTGAGATTAGCACCTGGGGCCTCCGGCCTCACTGCATCAAGTTCCCATTTCCCTCCCAGGTCTGGAAACCCAAATACTTCTGCCTTGAGGGGACTGGCTTCTCTCTCCTGTCTCTCGCCTAACCTCAGCCCCTTCCTACTCAAATACGCACCAGCTTCTCTCATTCCCCACCCAGAGGGGTTTGCGTGGGGACCTCCACAGGGCAAACGTGTTTTTTCTTCCAGAGCCAGTCCCTCTTTTAGAGAAAATAAGGCAGTTTGAGAAGAGTAACAAAGGCGGCATTTGTGTGTTTTGCTTTATGGAGCTGAAAATATCTGGTAAATTGATCCGGTGGGAGTAATAAATACACATTACTTTATCTTGTTCTTCATGTCCTATATCCCTGAGCCTTGATAGAGCAACACCACTTAATAGACTTAAAAAAGAGTAATTACACTCATTGGTTGTGTGATTTTTCAGCCCTCGCAGCCCTGCCTGACCTTCTAATTTAGCTCACCGCGTCTAACTAATGCATTTATATTCATCTTTTATGAAGCATGTATAGTACAGAATTGACTTTAGAGCCTTTTTCAAGCTGTCCTCCCCGGTTTCCAATCTGGTGAGCAGTAAGGAGAATGGGAACCCTCCATCTCCCTACGTCCGCACCTATAGGTAACCCATACACATGGCTCACAGCATTTTCTTTATCCTTTACGAAACATAATAAAAAGTAGTTATTACAGTTTTAGTTTAAAGCTTTTATACATTCTAGCATTATTTACAGCTAAACATGCAGGCAAAAGATGCGAGTGTTTTTAAAATGATTACTGTTAATGTTTCTGCTTGTCAGAAGTACTTAAATTTTCCTGCACTTTGTCTAAAAACTTAGTACTGTTGCCTTTTAAGAACAACACATTTAAAGGATCTTGCAAGTCAGATTTGCAAACACTGCTGACAGTTTGTGATGAATGATATTGCAAAATTTGCAAGATGTTTGTCATTTCGCACAGCTGACATATTAAGGAACAGATTAAGAAACGCGAAACCACTATGGAAAACAACCATCCCAAACAAACCTCAACCAAACCTTGAACCCAGAGAGCACACGCACCAGAATCTCTCACCCGGGTTTTCTCTCCCAACTTCCCACTCAGCCAGTGGAACCCAATTGTTCTTAGTGCATTTTCTCTCACCATATGGTCTCCTCATTACCATACACTAAGAGTCCATATGGGAAACTTGTGAAATGAACTGTATTCATTTTAACTGCCAGATGAGCAGCCTTTTGCTTTGCAAGCTTAGCTTAAGTCATCTGCTGTCTTCGTGTTGTTATGGCAACACGGTACCCATAAAAAATTCTAATCTACTGTAAGTGATCACAGTATTTTAAGTGCTTGCCTATAACTGCCCTCAAAGGGGAGGAAGGAGGAGGGGGTTATCTTTGCCCAAGGAGCAAAGGGTTGTTCTTCACTCCAGCAGGTGTCAGTAAAGAAGCTTGGTGACGTGGAGAGTGAGGTGCTGGGGGGTCCGTGTAGCAGGTGTAGTAGATGTGATGGTAAGGGAGGTGGATTGCAGAGGGATGGATGGTAGTGAGGATAGACTGTAGACCCTTTGGGTGGGCTGAGAAAAAACACTGACTGTCGGACACCATAGTTCTCCCAGCAGACACATGACTCTGCTGGTGCGGTGCACCCCACCATGAATAAAACTCAAGGTTCTGAACAACAACACAGGCAGCGGTTCCTCGTGGTAACTTCTGCACTGGCATGCAAAAAAAAAAAAAAAATCCCAGCCTCCTCTTCCTGTACATGGGAATTAGTCATTTCTAACTCTTAATGCTAATTAAGAGTACCTTAAAGTAATGGAAGTAGGCAGCAACATCCTTAAATATAAATCATTTTCACCTCCGCAGGCCACATGATATGTTTCATCTCTGTCGCTCTATCTGTATTGAAAGTGAATGTTTATAGTCTCAGTTCATCAGTTCACATTAGCCTCATGCTGAATATTTAAACACAGAACAATTTGAACACACCACGAAGGAAGGCAGTGACTGCACTTTCATTTGGAACAGCAAGGGCTCATCTAATAATAATTTAGTAAATCAGCCATTTAGTGGCTCGGTTGTGCACTGCATTGTGCCAAATATTATTCAGTTCCACTGTACACTTGCAGAATTGAAATTCAGCCTCTAGTCACAGGCACTGTTTTTGCTCAATGGAGAGACGAGACCCAAAATCACCCTCCCTAAAGAGCGGTTGTGTTAGTGATTTATCATAAATACAGAGCTGGGGCAAAATAAAACTGGAGTCGGCTGTATACCACGTATTCTAATTATGCTTTTATTGTTTTAGTCTTTATGCAAAGACTATCCGTAATTCAAAACCTGCAGTTGCATCAGTGAAAATACACATAAGAAATTTTTGCATAACCACATTGCCTGTTAGCAGAAAAGGGGATGACTAAGGGTTTCAGAAAAGGATAAAGAAAAACCGTACATCTTTATCTTCCACACTGTGACACTGGACGTGCTCTCTCGTCGTATTCATTTATTTATTTTTTTTAATTTCAAGAAAATCTATTAACATTTTATCTGGGAACCAAAATGACTCAAACAAAAAAATATAGCAACAAAAGCAAATCATGCAGTATATTCAGCTCTTAGGAAAAGAATGCTTGAGTTTGATTCCAAAAACCATTTTGTCTCTGCATTTTCTTGTCAAAAACACACACTATGGAATGCAGTTCTTTTTCCCCCTCTCTCCTCCGTATCTGCCAGAAAACTCACGGGCAAATTCCACTTCCCCATTTTGATGATATGCTCAGTTTAGGGGCTTGGTAGCCCCTCCTACTTATGCTTCTTTCATCAGGGGAGTTTGGCCTAGTTCTGTGCACCCTTGAAATTGTATATAGAATTGTGTGCGTGTGTGTGTGATGAGTATGCACACACATGCGTGCACATACGCACATATTTTTCTGGGGAGTGAGATTATAGCTTCATTAGAAAGGCCATGACCCCCACAAAAGTTTTAATTCTCACTTTTTTTAGATTATTTATTTTATCTTTAACTGACTGACTCTGCAGTAAGTTACTCTGTCGTTATTGAATCATGCCCGATTTAGAGATGAGAAAACTGAGGCTCAGAAGGGACCACTCACACAGCTGTCAGGGGAGGCTTTCTACCTCACCAGACAGCCTCACCATTAGTCTGTTCAGAATCTTTCCCAGTGTTTTGCAGATAGGATTGCACCTCAAGGAGCACTCAAAGCATTGACTCTAAGAATGCATATAATTTGCCCAAGTTTTCTGGAAAACAAGTGAGGGTTATCAATATTCTTGCTGCCTCTTGCTCAGTAAGCACTCACTGTGTGTCTGCTGAGCCAGATGCTGGTCTGAACCGTACTTTACAGTTGAGGAAACGGAGGCATGCATTTACAATGCTAAAAAAATGGCAGAGCAAGGATTTGAGCCAACTCTATTGGACTCCAGAGGCAGTATCTCTAAGCACTGCTTCCTAGAATTAAGAAAAGGGAATTTTAAGAAAAAAGGCAATTTTGTAAACCAATTTTTTAAAATCTCTCAAGCTTGGCCGGGGGGGGGGGGGAGGGGAAGGTGCTAGCATAGACTGAGGGTAGCTCACAGATGGCTTAGCCAGAGGGAGGTGGCAGTAGGAGTTAAAACACACACACATATAAACCTGGGAGATAATTCTCTTTCTCTTTAGCCCCAGAGTCATTGCTGTAGGGACTCTGTAATAACAGTTACTCCAATAGCTGAATTCTGGAACCTCCTTCAAGTTCTTTTAGCACTGAGCTCTTGACAAGGGGGGGACTAAGTTTAACCTTTGTATCACACCCTGTGTACAGGGGCTTTGAATATAATTACTCATTAGTTCAAGAAGAAGTCACAGGAGGAAACAGGGGCTCATTTCTCCTCCTAACCACCCAGCATCCTCCTCTTCAAGACCGAAGCCCTTAGAAACAGAGACACGAGGAGGCCTCTGGCCGTGCTTACTATTTTCAGCCTTGAGTAACACTTCAATTAACCACTGGAGTAATAAGAAGTGAGCCCCAGAAGTCTTGAGGCAGTGGATTTTAATTGCAGTTATAGTCAGGACCATCAGTAAAGCCTTGGGAATCATCATTTACAGATACCGTTCTTCTGGAGGTACATATCATAACTGATGATGTTCAACAATTTAAGAAACCAAAAGCAACTCTATTTTCGCCTTCCTTAGATATCGTTAAAGTCCAGTATAGTTCCAGCCTGCACATAGCACTTACTCAAGTTTAACTACATGTACTTGTCCAAAAATATAAATATACACATACATTTGTATACACACACCCCAAACACATACACAGACATACAGGGACATACATACGACAATAAGTCTCTTTGTTCACTCAGTGGTCCTTTTACTTTCAAACTAGATATTTATTGTCCTTTGCCCTAGGGAAAGGGAAGCCACAGCCAAAAGACAAAGAGAAACACAAGTGGTTAATTTCTGGCTTTTGTGTTTCTAAGAGCCCAGGCCTTGGCAACTTAAAAGAGTTTCAAGGGTAATTTTGACTCTAGGCAGTTTTTGTTTCATGTGCTGACTTTACAACCTAGCCCTGAAAAAGCCACCTCTGTCCACAGCCTTCTCTTTAAGCAGAGACTTTCATCCTGATCAGAAAGTCGATTTCCAAGGCCACTCAGCAGGATCTAACCCAGAGCGTTGGTCTTAAACCAGTACAATGAATTGGAATAAGAAGAGCCAGCCAGAGGTTACCAAGTTCAGCTCTGTACCTCCAAGCAGGTCATATTCACAAGGGGGCAGACACCATTTTTCACTGTATTTGTGCCGGGAAGCACCCCAGGCTCCCATTCACCAATTACCATGACACCATTTAGAAGAGAATGCCAGGAGACCAAAAAGAGGGGGAAAGCCATTGTCATCACTCTTCTCAGGAATACCTGGCTTCACAATTTATACTTAACTGCTGACACTTGAAAAGTCAAACATTTTGGTGAAATGAATCAAGTGTAGTGTTTCTTTTATGAGATCCCCTTGCAGGAAAGGGAGGTTTCGCACCTCGTGGAGACCAAGCTTGGTTATCCATCATAGTAAAGTCAGCTGTCCTAGCCAGCTTCTCAGAGGTCACGCGATCGAATCAGCAGCTCTTACAACTATATTATTGCTTACGGAACAGTAATTGAGGCACCAGATAAAAATTACCTGGTCTAATAGGCAGTGAACAATTTTCAGTCAATAAAATTATAAGCCAAATCATTCATTTCATAACACTCTGGCTAATTTATTTGTTGACCTTTTAATTTCCATAGCTCTTCAGTGGTATTAACTGCAACTCAGACAAAATCTCGTGTTCATTTCACTTTCATTGATTTTTTTTTTTTTTCTTTTTCCCATTGAGGCAATAACAGCTGCCTGAAAACAGCCTTTTCCTTTCCACTGTAAAAGTCAGTCATGTAAGTTAGTGTGTCTTACGTTGATGTAGCTGCGTTAGCTTACAACCTACCTTAATTTCATGTGATTCAGAAGTCTTCCACGTTTGTAACAAAGGCAAAGCTTTTGGGCGCGTCTCCAGCCACGCGGCACGATGATACCTAATCATATGTTTGAGAAGTAAGAGGGGTGTCATCTAATCTGAACACAAAATCAACTTTAAAATTAGAGGAGGTTCAGAAGCCCCCCCCTTCAAGCCCCTGCATTTTCTTTAGACTAGAACACTTTCGATGCCTCTTGTGTGAATAGCAGTAGACCCTTGTAAAATATTTGATTCCTTTGTTTTGAATATTTCTGCAGATTTTGATGATGGTTTGAATTTTATGTTTCTTTAAAGACTATGGGCAATGAGTGTGCACTAGAATGTTCGTTCAGTAAGCTTCAGCTGAAGCTTCTTCTATAATAAAATGCTATGAAGTCTTCAGAATGCAGGGTTGTAAAATATAATTGTTACACATTTGGCATTTTATGCCTCCCTAGAACTAACCACTTGCTACCTACACCTCATCTATGCTCCTCCTTTCCATTTCAATTTACTCTAAAGTGGTCCTTAGCCATAATGAGAATGCCCCTTTCAGCGGAAACATGTTTAATTATATCCATGCTAGATGAGAGTGACTCCTCTCGGTCATAGGGCTTCTGAGTAAAGCGTGTTTAAAGTGTGACAATAAAGGTTTCTAATGATCTGCGGTAAGCTCTTCGAGAAGTTCATATTACCAGAAAAAATGAAAAATTTAAGGAATGTCTCAGAGGATCGGAAGCTAAACAGTGCTCAAGTATTATTTTGGTTTGTTTTACCCCTTCCCTCACTGCCCTCATTCTATGATTTTTTAGGATGCAAAGTCTACCACTGTGGAATTTTCCATTTGGCTGAATAAACACAAAGGAAGTTGGGACATAATACTACCCTCCACAGAAATACCTCTCAGTCAACTAGTATTTATTGCATTGTACATCCAGCTCTGCAGGATATGGGCTGCCAGAAACTTCCAATCACTTTTTCAGCTTTTAGACTTTCCAATCAGTAGTTTCAGAAGCAAGTGGGGAAAGAGCTAGAAGTTAAAGGCTAGTAAGCTGAATATACTGTTTAAAATTTGGACCCAATAGTAAACTCCAACGTGAGGAGGTGAACGGATTCAGTGCTGATTTCAGTGCCGATAGGTGCTTATCGACTTTAAATCAGGAGTGATTTTGCCGGTCCTCTTCATTTTGTATTGCTGATATTTGAACCCACTGTATCTTGAATCTCCTGATAGGGCAAAGTAGAGTGGTGATAAATGGGCGACAGGGCAATGTGCAGTGACAGGAAAGTATTGTACTTCTTTCTCGGGAATCACCCAGGTCAACCTGGCTTTGATAATTGATGTTTACGTTTAGCTTCTGTTTTCTTCTTCGTCCCTCAAAACATTATTTTCTAACTGAGGGAGCATAAAGCCAAGCACAGGTTGTCTTCCCAAATTACAGAAGCATCCCTGGGCTTGAATTTTATGAGGGAGTTCCCAGAGTCTCAAAATCTGATCCTGAGATTTGAAATTATAATGTTGTGTTGGTAAACGGGTACCCATCTGGCTTTATGAGTTGGTCTACATGTGCTCTGAATGAAAGAGAGTTCAGGCCATCTCGCCTGCTCATCTGGGTTTGAATGACTCAAAACATGGAACTGGGTTTATAAACGGGCTCAGTATTGGATGGTTAGACAGCCTTCCCATTCTCTCTGGAAGGCTAGGTGGGCCCAGTGAATATGAGATTATTAGCAACACATTTGAGATCAGATGCTGCAGAGAAGATTCACATGGAAGGTGATTAATCCTCAGCGGGTTTACTGTCATGAAATGGAAGGAAAGGTGAATGAGCCATGTCTGCATATCAGACGTGATACGCCTGGTTCCTAAGAGGGTGCAAATACCTAAGTATTTCTAAGAGCCTAGGAGTATAGTTAATAAAAGGCTGACGTACATCAAGACAAACCTCATGTTGTTAGCAGCCTATAACTTGAGATAATGTCTGTACCCGACATGATTCATTATATTAATCACAAAATTAAAATGTAAGTACAAGCCAGCAGGAGTGAAGGAGCAAATTCACTTAAAAAAAAAAAAAAAGTGGTATTAAAAAACCCCCCAGTGATCAAGACTTGACCTTTGGGAATTTATATATTGGATTTAAAGGTCTAGAGCCAAATGGAGCACCAAATTTAAGTCTTCTGCTTTTATAAACTATGCCAAATACATGACTTGGTCATTTCCTCATGTAAGTTAAGCACGCGCTTTTAAAAATCAGTAATGATCTTAGAATGAGCTCTTCAACAAGAATTTCTCAAGGGCTGTGGTTTGCCGAACATAGTGCTAGGGGCTTAGAGAAGGAAATTAAGACCTCCAAGAGCCTGTAGTCTGGTTGTGGAGATTGTAGACTCACACATTTAAGACCAGAACAAAATGACCCCACAGTGTCCACTTCTGTGCAGTGCTGGGCAGTGCATTCAGCACTATTTTTCAGAGGAATGAGAGAGGTTAGGAGCTGGGGTCTCAGTGAAGGTGGAATTAGTTCTGATATGATAGTGTAATTATGAAGAGTTCAGGCTCTGATGTCTAACAGGCCTGAGATTGAATCCCTGCTCAGCCATTCATTAGTCGTGTGACGTCAGGGCAAGCTGACGGACCTCTCTGAGTCTCAGTTTCCTCGTCTGCCAAATGGCGATACGGAGTCTCACCACGGAGAGTAAATGAGTTAATGTTTCCCTTTCCATAAACAACAGTTATGTTTTCCACTGCTCTACCACCACCACCAGCACCACCTTCATTATCAGGCCCTAGAGGATGGGAAGATATTGTAAATGGGCACAGACTGAAGCCAGCTTCCCAAATAAAGGCAAAATGAGTAAAGGTATGGAGATAGGAAGGAGCCCAACATGTTACTTCCCAGGCTGGAGAGGACTAACTAGCCCAGAATAGAGGGCAGTTCTTCAGATGTTTAGGGAGAGGAGATTGGATAAAGAGGATAGGACCAGATGGTGGCGGAAATCTTTTGCAATTCCCACAGAACGCCGTACCTTAATTCTGGGAAGACAGGGTGCCTTGAAAGGTGCTGGAGAGTAATATCGGTGTGTGACTGCTGGGACAAGAGAAAGTTCAATACTTATTTGCTAATTGATTGGGTTGCAACATAGGAAGTAAAGCCAAATCTTCTCTCTGCATTTGTAGCCCGTTCAGCACTTTCATTATAAAGGTTCCAAAACATGGTAAAACTTGTACCAATTATACTTGAACTGTTTCTCGAACCCCACTCATCCTTGAATCTTCCTAGTGTTTCTACTAACTCTAAGCAGATTTAGTATGGTTCATCCATTTTTTTTTCCTCTCCAGATCTCCATTCACATAATCATCAGTCGATGGTCATAGCAAGGCAGGTAAAGACAGGTTTTAATTGAGAAAGGAAATAGGTCAGCAAAGAGTTGTTGCAGTTTTTAAGGACTATACATTTTCTCTTTCTTTAAGAGAGAAGAAATCCAAAGCCATGAAAAGAAAAATAGTCTGACTCAGGATGTAGGTTGGAGAACAAGCATTAGCTCTATAAGGAGACTCTGAGGCTTTTCACTGTTGAGGGTACTGGTATTTGTCTTCTTAATTCCCCAATGGGATATGTATTTTTTTTTAATCCAAGGATAGGATTAATTATCTTGGAAGAGTCTAATCTCTACCCTCATGTTTTAGACCGCAAGCAGCGAGACGTTTTAAACATTATGAAAAGAAGAGACAATCTCTCCTGACAAATAAATGCTTTGAAAAATTAGATATTAGTACTTGTCGAGTGCTCTCTCTTTTCAGAAATATTAAAATTGCATATTAGAGTGGAAGGATCCTTACACGATGCTCCCTCCTAATGTCGCAAAAAATAAGACTTTAGGAACAATTTCAGAGACAGAAGATTATATGAAACATCCAGCTTGTCCCCTTATGGGAAGTTTCTCTCTTTAACATCCCAGGCTCGATCACTTCCTAACGTGAAATTACAGAATTTTCAAATTACCATATAAAACTGCAAAAAAATTACACTTGTGACCACCGAAGAGATAGCATATACTATCAGTTTGATTTTAAGAGGCATACATCTTTTATACTACCTGTCATTTTTATAATGCCTTTTACAAATTTAATCAATACATTTTAACATTCTATATACTTTAAGTGCAATATACAATAAATATTCAAGTTTCATCTTAAACATGCTTTAGCCTTTAAATTGTTAAAACTGCAGTGCCCTTTCAATCTACTTACATAATGTCATAAAATATACATTTCAAGGTAAATGAAGTCAGCTACTTCAATTTAGTCCCTCAAACTGGTAGTAAATGAGAGGTTAACACTATGGTGCCAAAACCATTATTGAGTAAATTTAGCACCTTGGACAGCTCTGTAAAATCTTTATTGCTTTCCTGACCTGCTCGTCATGTTCTGTCTGTGTGTTCAGTGGCTCTCAGCTCTGATTGAAAGGCAATATATTAGATCCCCAACACAAACACGCTTGGGGGCTAGTTCACTGGGAGCATAATGACATGGAGGTGAGAGCAATTTTCTGGTCACCGAAATCCAAGCACCTTGCAGGTCCGCTGCACTAACTCACAGAGGACCCAGAAATTTCCTTTCTCCTTCCCATTTGCAGAAATGACTAATGGAAGCTGAATCACATTGGCAAAGCTGAGCCAAAAGTGGACCCTCCCTTAAACCCCACAGTTGATACCACGATGAAGGACATTTTAAAATAGGCGAGATATCATTTAAGGGAGTCACTTCCAGGACACAACATCAGATTCACGCACTGTCCTCAAGACTGCTGGTCTGAAGCAAGGCTGGCTGCTGACCCACCTACAGTGGCAACGTGCCTAGTAGAAAGCATGTCCCGGCTCTTTGTATTGAAGGAGGCGGCGACTCTAGGAAGTGAGATTCACAAGCTTCATTTTCAGAGGATTGAATGGTGATGAGAGCTCTGGGTACTGAATAAGGAGAAAAAGGAACACTGTAGATTATGTTATTGAAAAATGTTATCACCAAAAATATATCAGTTTAAAATATACAGCCTACACTGATAGTTGGAATTTTTCAGGCACAAAAACTTCAAAGATCTTGGAGTTTATTGTGGAGTTTACCTTCCCTCATCCCTGGTTCTGTGAAATTAATTAAAAGAAGAAGCACTGCTCTAAATCCTCAGTGATACTGTTCCAAGATTGAAGTTTGCAAGTGCAGTTTCTGACTGCACCTTATCTTGCTTTTGACAGAGACTTGTATTTTTTTTTTCCCTGAAATGAAAAGAAAAATACCTTCTCTGCCAAGCCCAAACACTGGCATAAATATTTATTTGAAGAAATAAATGAATATAGACCCAGAGAAGTCAAATTTTGGTAAATAAACTAACCTGATCCTGTTTTGTTTTCATCTTTCCTAAGAGCCAGATAAAGCCGTGAGGTTTTAGTGAAGGCAGCACAAGCTGATTGGATCTGGGGATAGGGTTTACTGTGCCCATACCATAGTAAATTATTAACTGCTGTTGTCAGACAGCACTGCAAACAAACAGTGGTAGATTATCTTGTAGCTTGCATTAAAAAAAATAAAGAAATTATTTCAGATGTATTGATTCAAACCCCATTGATTATATAATGTTTTTCACTCCTTATATGAAAAATAACAGAACTGTTTTATAAATGAGGTCTAGCAGCTTAAGGCAAGCATAGATGTTTATTGAGAACTGAAAACCCCCTCTATCTCATTTTTGAATTTAGGACATTATATATGTCACAAGTAGTTACTGCAGTATGACAACTATTTTATCTTATAGAGAATTTAAAATCGAAAAATGCTAATATGTATCTAAAAGCGTGTCACTTCAAGAGTTGTTCAAGAATTTTTGAAGAGGCTATGGTGACAGCAAAATGAATGCAATTATATCCCTATTTTCTGATCAGCGTCTGCAGTATGTGAAAATTGAACAGCACTGCTTCTCCATGCAGAACTCTATTGTGTAAAATGTTTAAAGTTAAACTTCTTTTTGAAACTTTACCCACAGCAAAATATTATAAACATATCTTCTTGCAAATCACTTCTGATAACCACACCACGCCTTCATGTTTGCTCCTCTGATAAACCTCCATTTTATTTGTATCAAGCTTAACTTTCCTTTTCACATTCCAGTATAAATGAATCTGCAGAAAATTAGGGCTGAATGAAGAGGGAACGATTTCTTGTGGTTAGAATGAAAAAAAATTACCACCACACACATTTTTGTAGAGCGCCCTATATTATTAGAAACAAGCATGGTAGCTAAATACGGAAGCCCACCTAAATGAAAAGGAGACATTTTTTCTTCACCTGGAGTGAACAGTGGAGCATGTATCTAGAAGGAGAATGAATGAGCAAATGGGGAAAATGACAAACAATACTGAAATAGCAAAGAATTGCTAGAAGAGAAACAGACTCTGCCGGTCATGAAAATTGGTGCAGAGGGAGCTTCCAGGGGCAGGGAGAATTCTTTTGTGAGAACCTCTGACAAAACAGTGCATTGCCCCAGTAGATGGGTTTACTACATCGCTCCCTTATATCATGACTCTGCCGTGCAAGGGAGATAAAACAAAAGAAGTTGAATGCTACATGCTCCTAGTTGCTGAAGATTGATTGGACATCTCTTGAAAATGACCTGTCTGATAAGGTCATGGTTCCTGGAATAAGCAGTTAAGTGCAAAATAAACACATCTCAGGGATTCATAACATGCACCAACTGACATCCATCATAGTAATCTAGTAAATGACCTCGCAATTGTATTCAGCAATAAACATATGAGTGCTTTATCGTGCTTATGGCGCACTATTGAGTGATGTATTTTATCTTGCAGTACCAATGATGCTCACCTTTTGACTTGATTAAGTGTGTACGTGAATAGGGATACATTGGTGATTTAATGCCATTCGGGGGTTCTTTTAAAGCAGTGCGTTGGCAAAGGATGGCCAGAGGAAAGTGGTACGTGATCATGTGAAAAGATAATGACATCCTGCCTTCACTCAGAGGATTGTATCTGTTTTTCTCCTTGACAGGAAGTGATACTCAAAAGGGCTGCAGATCTGGTGGAAGCGCTGTATGGGATGCCACACAACAACCAGGTGAGCATAGTGGGTCTCGAACTTTCCACATTCAACTGAAGTGCCGGGAGTCCTTATTAGAATGAAAAAGTATGAAAAATACAAAAGTTCTTGCACGAGTTCAGTGTATAAGTCATTCGGACCTAACGGGTTGCAAGGCCATTCGCGTCTTCTCTCTTCTTTTGTAAATCTTTTAACGCCTTTTCTAGGGAATAATTTTTTCTTACGAGAAAAGGTACTTTATTTAAAAGGACTCTTCTGTGGGAATGTAGTTCATCACTGAAGAAGAGAGTTACCGGTGCTTGGTTTTATTCCTCTCAGGTTTTCAAGAAAATTTAGGAGGAAAAGGGGGATTTAATTTCTTCTCCTAAAAAGTATAATGAGGCCTGAATATTGTCTGCTGCTATTTCGTAGAGCAACTCCATGTATCTGACTCAACTTGCTCAGGAAACTGAGTCTGAGAAATCCTCCTTCCTTGCTTGTGTCATTTGAATCAGTGTCCAAGGGACACAGTCCCATTAATACTCAGGGACACAGGTCATCATGTAAACTTGCCCTTAACTTCATCTTGGGAGATGAGTTGCAGGGGTGTGGGGGTGGGGGTCGGGGTGTGGGTGTGTGGGTGTGTGTGTGTGTGTGTCCCCAGAGTTCTCTGTGTTACTTGTGGGGAAGGAAAGCCCCAGGTTGCTGTCCTGTACTGCGAGGTAGTATAGAGGGGACTGGCTGAGTTAATGGGCTTTCAGAGTCAGACGAACAGGGTTATGCAGCCCAGCTCTCTCCTTAAATAGGTAAGGGTCCTGAAGTGAGGTCTTGGCCTCTCTGAGCCTCAGTTGCCCCATCCGTGGTATGGGCGTGATGATGATGAGACTGAACACCCAGGTTGGTTGAGAGGGTTGCAGAAGTTAGTGCCGTTAACCACAGAAAGCCCTAAGCATGGCCTGTAGTAAACACTTGGAACGTGGTACTCCTGGGAATCTGACTGGGCAGCTAAGGGGGATGTTCCTGTTACTTTTCAGGAGATTATTCTGAAGAGAGCAGCTGACATCGCAGAGGCCCTGTACAGTGTCCCCCGCAACCACAGCCAGCTCCCGGCCCTCACTAACACCTCGGTCCACGCGGGAATGATGGGCGTGAATTCCTTCAGTGGACAACTGGCTGTGAATGTCTCCGAGGCGTCGCAGGCTACCAATCAGGGTCAGGAGCCCCACTCTTCCCCTCTCCATTTCCCTGCCCCTTCCCAACCTCAAGCTACCCCACCCCCATTTATTTGGCACAAAACAGTGTTTATTTTTAAAAAGGCTTTTTTTTTTCCCCCCCAAAATGGGAGATTCCTAGTCTGCGTATATCAGATATTACTGTAGAATTTTGGTTCTAGCCATCATGTCTGGTAATTTGGTGGAGGTGCTAGAAAGAATGCATGCATTTAGTTACCTCACCATTTGACTTTTCACTGTAAACCATGAATGACAGATCACAAGGAGGGGTGGAACTAAAGTTCTGGAGGGGCCAAAGCACATCATCCTTGCCCAGGGAGTAGGAGCCGGTTACCTCCAGGGTATTATGTCTCTTAGATTGGGATTTATTTCTGTTCCCAAATGATAAGTGATTGATAGGTCCTGCATTGCCACTTCTCACAGGCCCGCTAAGTATCTATGATCTCCTGAGAAATGTGTCTTTTGCTCGCTTCCCATTTTAATCACGGAGCTAGCACCACCAATCCAGCCATGAACCACCTGGCCCCTTCCCTTCAGGATGCAGCGATGGGGCAAGAAACAGAGACCTTCCTTTCCCCAAGCTTCTCAGACCCGCCACCCATCCGCCACCCACCCAACCTCATCCTTGGTTTTGCCCCCGCCCCTCAGGTTTCACCCGCAACTCAAGCAGCGTATCACCACATGGGTACGTGCCGAGCACCACCCCTCAGCAGACCAACTATAACTCGGTCACCACGAGCATGAATGGATACGGCACTGCCGCCATGTCCAATTTGGGCGGCTCCCCGACCTTCCTCAATGGCTCAGCTGCCAACTCGCCCTATGCCAGTAAGTAGAGACGTGTGTCCTGTGTTTCTGCACGCTTTTGCTCTAAGAACTGGGCGTCGTGCTGTGTGGCCCACTGTGCAGGTCTCCCCGGTCCCCAGTCTGAGGGCCCCTGCCCCGCCAGGTGCAGGCCCGGGTGATGGGACCAAAGCCAGCACTGTCCCCGAATCTCTGCCCTCCTTGCTCACCGTCCTCCCCATCTCCCTCACAGAACTCGGCTGCAACCCAAACAAACAGCAGCGTGATGTCATTGCAGGAACCCAAGCTTCCAGTCAGATGGAGTTGGGTTTGACTCTTTCTTCTACCAGTTGCTGACTGGTGGCTGCGGGCAGGTTCATCGCCCCTCTAAACCTCAGTTTTCTTTATCTGTAACATGGGGAAGGAACCAGTACCCGCTCCCATACAGTTGTTGTGAGACTTGGATAAAATAAGGCACGTAATGAGCTCGTCCTGAGGCCTGGCCCATAGGAGACGCATTCAACAAATCTAGGTACTAATCATAATGACAGAATGATGATATTAAGTGGTGCTGGTAGTGTAGCATACTAACAACTATCCAAACTTGAAATCTCTTTTTTTAGTGCTTGGAAAGTTTCTCCCCCTTTGTGTTCGATATGTACAAAGAAAAAACGAAAACTGAACAAATCAAAAAACACACTTTATTTTTTTCCAAAAATTTGGCATGATGAAAAAAAATTACGCACACACAAGAAATGGTTCTTTGGTGTCTCGTCCCTGTCTTACAGAAGCTTAGCTTAAAGGATTTTTTTGTGCACTGTTTGTTTAGATTGCATCTAAAGAACCTCAGGGAACTGGCATCTTTACATATAAAATGTCATAGGCTGTGTTTGCGCAGTCTCTTTGTCGCCCTTTGAGGAGCTTTACATAGCAAACCAAGCTCATCTTGGACAATGTGGGTGGCTCTTCCGGTGTATAAAATATGTAAACTCTTAGAATTTTGTGGGATGATAGCCGCCGTGTTGTTTGTTAAGTGAAAGAATGGTCATGTTTTTAAAATGAGAGTCTCAGCTAAAAATACGGAAAAGGATGCTTTCTCTGATGATAGTGGAAATGTGGAGTGTGCTAGGCTGTTGAAAAAGGAAAGATCATTCTTGGCCTTTGTGAGAAGTTATTTCTGAAAGTAATACTTAGGGCCATTTACCTTCTTGGTGAATCTGTAGGCTCAGGGTGTCCTGTGTTTCTGCACATTTTTGCTAAATCTCTATATTTCTTTATTTCTACTTGATCTGCTTGGAATCGGCAGCTTGTTGAACATTTAAAATCCCCCCTAATAATCTGCATAGATTACGTCTGTCTGCTTGAGCATCAGTGTTTGGGGTCAGTTTCACATTAGATTTTGATTCATCAAAAAATTGTTTCTCACAGATCTATCATTTCAGTGTCCTCCCTTCTACTCAATCAGAAAATGTTTCAATCATGACCTGAGTAGTTAAAAGGCGGCGTTCTTAATTAAATCAATAACCTAATCGCTACGTGGCAGCAATTCAGTTGAGGGGCTTGGATTGCTGTGTCTTCCCAAGCCCTTGCAGACACCCAGCGACTTGAGCCTGAGATTGCATCCGTTAGACCACGAAACTTCGAACATTTAATTTCCATTAATTGATTTCCTCAGTGCTCACAAATATAGTATTAAATTCTCAAACAGGCTCTCAGATGGGACAGTTTTATCTGCATAAATGCAAATAAAACAGTAAACACAAAGCCCAGCTGATTTGACTTTTTGTCTCCATAATATTTAATTATTCATAAACCACTCATGTTGAAAAATTCCAAACAGAATAGAAAATAAAACAAGACACTCCACTGGTGAACACACTTTCTGGTATAGTGGCTGATATCTAATCATGTTATAACAAATGGAACTGCCTGACTATATTTCACCCCTTCCTCTGGTAACGCCCCCTCCCCAAACTCCCCACCTCTAAATACACACAATGATCGCATTTGCCAAGGAGATTAATTGCCTTCCTCAGTGAACCAGCAGGATTTCAAGGCTACGAATATTTAAAAAATCAAACCTCCAGTGCAGGAGTTTTGCAATTTAAATGGGTGTTATTATTGAGCGTATTTTCACATTTACAAATCCTCAGAGATGTATAAAAATGCTGGTCTCATTAAAAGAAAAAGTACAGTTTAGAAAATGTTTGTGAAAATTCTGATGATGGCGGCTCTGTGTTCTGCTCCATAAAGCATCCAGTGCGTCTGGATTGTGTAGTGCTGAGGGCCGATTACCAGGGGTCATTTCCCCTACCCCCCACCACCCCGATGCCAATTGCTGCCTGTGACCCATTTGATAACCACTTCCCTAACTTTCCAAAGCCAGTAGGCCGAGGCGGAGGCCACCTAACTGGCAATTTGGACTCTGGTGTGCTCATGGGAAGGTGCCTGTCCGATGGCAATCTGTTTGCTTAGCAGGGTAGCCCAGTAGAAAGAGCACTGCATTTGGGTTTGGTTCCTGGCCTCACCTTCCAGCTGTGGCCCTGGGGCAAGTCACTGGACTATTTTCTGAGTCTCAGCTCGCTGGGTTTGCTCAGGTGTCAAAAGGATGTAATAGGTCCCAATTTAAGCTTGCTTGGCCAATGACATAGATGAAAAAGATGTGAAGATTCTTGCAGGTGATAAAGCAATATATAAGGTTTATGACATAATGTGAAAAATAATACAGTGAAGGAGGAAGTGCCTAGAATTTGAACTAAGTTGCCTGAAAATCATCAGGCAGGATTCATACTTTTTCCCAGGAGACGGAGGAAATGGAAGGTGAGTGTGTGATGGCACCAGTCCTGAGTGTAGAGGGCTTTCATGTGCTCAAAATCTGTCTCCTAAAGTGACCTGAGATTATTAGCAACTATCAAAAGATGAATGAAAGGCCGGGCGGAGAGGACTGTGGTTGGTGGAGAACGTGCATCGCCCAAACTCTTTCGTATCCCCAAGCAGCTAGGTTTTCTCTCTCTCTCAACTGCCGAAGGTCTCCTATCATTGCTAATTCCCGTCCCCACCACTCCCAGACTGTGAGTATTTACATAAGGCTCCGATCCTGCTGCTTATTAGTTCACACTCATCTCTGTACAGCTCCGCGGGGGATAGAGAGAATTTGAAACTTTGACTTGTAGTCCTGCGTTATTCACACGTGTTGCACGTGGCAGACTGTTTACCCGCCTGGCTTCCGACCTACCTCTGTCTGTCTTGTGGAGCACGAAGATACAGTCATATCCTTCAGGAAGCTGTAGCTCCATGGGGCGACAGGCGACACACACACACCACCATCTGCCAGTGCCTTAAGCTGGAATCCTGGTGTTGCCTTCAACTCACTCTTCTTCCTCACACCTCTCCTTCCACTGGTGACCACACTCTCTCAGGCTGGCTTCCTCCTGTCTCTTGTATCCCCAGACCCTTTGCTAGAACCTTAGTTTAGGCCCTACCTGCAATGCTTCCCCTGACACCTCCTCCATGAAGCCTTCTTTGGTCTCCCTTCCCTGCCTCCCCAGAGTTGGCCATACTCACCTTTGAGGCTATCACGTGGTACTCTACCCCTTATAAGAGCGCTCTTGTTTCCTGGCTTGGGGTGCTCTAGCACGCTGCCTGGTACGTAGTCGGCCTACAACAAAAGGAAACACATGCTGAGTACCAAATGATGAGAGCAGACAAGACCCTCAGAGTTCAGGGAAGGCTCCTTCTAGAAGGGCGGCCTGAGAAGGATGGGTGTCAGGGTCGGAGCTGAGATGCCTTGTGTCAGGACACCAGGAGAGGCACTGATTTCTCTTTTCCCATTGCCCCTTAGTCGTGCCATCCAGCCCCACCATGGCCTCCTCCACAAGCCTCCCCTCCAACTGCAGCAGCTCCTCCGGCATCTTCTCCTTCTCACCAGCCAACATGGTCTCAGCCGTGAAACAGAAGAGTGCTTTTGCGCCTGTGGTCAGACCCCAGACCTCCCCACCTCCCACCTGCACCAGCACCAACGGGAACAGCCTGCAAGGTAAGCCCCAGGCCCCACCCGGGCCAACCAGACGCCCTGACTCACCTTCCCAGGGCCTGAAGCAGATGCGCCACTGTTGCGAGGGGATCGGCCTGGGGCCTGCCTGCTTCTGTCCACCCTCATCTATTCTGTTCCTTTGTGTTCGCCCTCGTCGGCCCTGGTCCCTGACGCGCCCCCCTCCCCCGCCGCCCCCCCCCCCGCCCCCTGTCCCCGGCATCCCTCCTCTGCTGGAGTTGCCTGAGCAGTTCTCTTTCCAACTCCAGCAATTCTGCTCAGGCCTGGGATTTGCTTGAGAATACTGTTTCCACTTACTAATGCCATCGTTTCTCTTTCCTCTCTCATTCCCTGTGGTCGCCATAATCAGATCAGTCTTTTGTGGACTCTAGCAAGTTCTCCACTGCAGGGTCTCTCCCGGGACTGGCCTTCTCCTGAAGTAGGTTCCCTTCCTGTTGCCTGTGTCAGCATGCACATTTGGTGGGGCTGATAATGGGGAGGGGGTGAGTTGGCCAGGCCAGAGCCCTGAGGTTACAGCATGTTAGACCAAAGACCCAAGACTTACTACTGGGAACCAGAAACCCTGAAGTGCTACTAGAGGACTCTGGTTCATATCAAAACTGTTCGATTTCCTCCCCCTCATGGAATATGGAAAATAACAGAGTAACCAAATTTGAGGTGACCTTCCTATTCATTGAGAAGAAACCCAACCTTTTAAGACGGGTCCCACCATTTCTTACACTTTTCTTACTGGCACTGAGTTGTGGCGTTGACCCGCATGACCTCCCTCCTTCCCCACAGTAGGATCATGTGATCAGCACTCAGAGCCCCTACCTTAGAGACGAGAAAGCGAAAGGTCAGCGAGGTTATGGAGTGGCTTGACTTCCGACAGGGGTGGGTGGCAGAGGCTGGCTTCAAACTCAGGCTCTAGAGTTCATCTCCTCCCTCCAGCTTCCAGGCACTATACTGCTCAGAGCGGGTAAGCGGGACGTATCCAGGATTCGTAAGGCAGCTGGCAGGGAAGTAAGATCAATAAAATCATCAGCTGCCATTCCTTGAGAGCTGACCAGTGCTCAGCACTGAGCCTGCCTTATCCTATTTAATCCTCACAACTTCCTGATGAAACATGAGGACAATTATGATCTCCACTGTACAGAGGATAAAACTGAGGCATAAGGAGAGAAAACACCTGCCCATAGGCATAGCCAGAAACAGTGGGGATGAATATAAACCCTCAGGGTCTATGCCCTAACCCTTAGCCTACCCAGTGCCCCACGGAGCCTTCCTTCACAGCCGGCTTGCCCATCTTCACTAGTGGCGGTGAGTCATGGAGGTCGAGAGGGGTCAGGGGGCAGCCCTGTTTCTTACATCTCTATCTATTTATACTTCTATGCACGTACTCTGTACAGGACACTTTACACTGATGTAAACTTACATCCGTTCTCTTGACGACCCTGTGAGGTTGGTGCTACTCCCATTATATAGATGAGGCGATCAAGGCCCCGTTTGCTCAAGGTCACATATCTAGTAATGGTGGAGCCCAAACTGAACCCCATCTGTGTGACTCCTGAGCCTGAGCTCCTGCTTCCTTTTCTGACTCCATAAGGGCTCAGCAAGGCACTCCTCGGAGACCTGCTGGCCAGTCTGCCCAGCACAGCCAAAGTCAGTGCCCCTGCCCCCTCCCTGAAATATACCTACACTGCAAAGCCATCTTCTTAGAGGGAAAAGGAAGATAATCGGACTGTGGAACGACATTTCGGGCAACGTTCCTTGTGACAGGAAATGCCCACCCCACAAAGGGGAGCCACCCATTCACGCAAGTCTCTTTTTCCGCTAAAAATAATGCTTTGGCACGCACAGTACACCTCTAGCTGGCAAACTGAGGATATAATGCTTAAGCGAACGTAACTTATAACGGGTTTAAGTAAGGATAAAACCCATGGAAAGCAGAAGTCTACCATTCTTGAACTGCCAATCACAATGCTTGTTAAACACAGACTTGACGTCAGGAAGAAGGTATAACGGGGTTTGTAATCCGCCGTGGAGGGCTGGCGCTTGAGAGGAAAAGGCCCACGGCCCTTGCAGGGTCACAGCTGTATCACTGGCCACCGGTGACGGAAGTGGGCAGCTGTTCTGTGAGGCCGAGTGTCTTTTCATGCCATGTGGGCCAAGGAGGGAGCAGGAAGGGACTGAAAGTAGGGACTCAGCTTGAGTTTTAGAACCTCCTGGATCTAGGGAACATCGGGTGGTGTGGGGGTGTGTGGGTGTGTACACTTAAGTAATGATGAAATGGCATCAAGACAGGGACACATAGAAAGTCTGTGCATCCGTCACCCCCAGGGCATCTCTAACTCATGTCTGCACAGATTCCGAAAGTACAGAGACTGCTCCCCGCTTCTGATCAGCGGCTGAGTCTCCGTCTCGTTTCTAATGCACAGCTCACAGCTGGGAGGGTTTAGGGTGTCACTCAGGGACACGCTTTGTGCTGGATTTGCTGTTGTGGATGACGCTGCCCTTTCCTTCTAGTTGAGCACGTGTCCCGGAGACGCTTTCTGGTGGTTTTTGTTTCCCCAGTACTGTCATGTACGAAACGTCCCTAGTCTGGGGGAGGTGGCAGCAGAGGAGGAATGAGTCGAGAAATTAAAGTCACGTTAACTGATACCACCTTGGAAGCTGTCCTCCCTCCTGCCCACTCCACTCTTCACCATCCACCCGCCAGGCAGGGCCCACACACCTGGGATCACACGTCTGTCCTCTGCACGCTGTCCCTGCGGACACGGGTGAGATGCAGCAGTGTTTTCAGGGAGCTCTTGCCTTGGAGTCTCCCCTGAGAAAAGTGACATTCTGACTGGAGGCTGCTAGACCCATAACTAAAGAATTACTTCATCTTCAGCTGTCTAAATTCCACTTCTATTAAAAAAAAAAGAAAAGAAAGGACACAGGTGGGTTATAGAATGGAGGGTGAGGATCTCTGAAGTGTTGCAGCCCTCCTCCTTTGCATTGTTACAGTAACACCTGCTTCATTTGGACCCACCTCGTTCAGAATTGTGATCATTAAGACAGGGCAGGTGACGAAGGAAGAGTTGGTTAAGCAAACTGACCACATAAACAAGATTAGAGGTGACACATTTAGGTTGTTTTAAGTGTTTTAAAGGTCTTTTTACCTCCAGCTATCACTCTTAATTGTCCATCGTTCTTTTTTTTTTTTCAAGCCAACTCCTTAGAGGCCCTTTTCGCTACCAGCCCTTTCTCAGCCTCCTCTGGTGACAGCACTCACGTTTATTCCCCAACAGATACGCACTGTGGTCTCACATGATGGTGATGACAATGGTCACAGCCACTAACGTGGGAGGGAGGGCTTCTTCCCAGCCTGGCTTTTTCACTGTCTCGTGTGTTCCTCCCAACCAGTCTTAGATATAGGCTGTCTATTGTCCCCATTGTACCGATGCAGAAACTGAGACAAAGCAAGCTGGCTCATCCAGAGTTACGCAGCTAGCACATAGGGGGAGCTTGGGGTTAAATCCCAGGCTGACTGACTACTGTATCAGCCCTGTGCTAAATGAAATGGTCATAGTCAAGCCACTGGGCTAGGACTATGTGGACCAGCAAATGCTGACCTTAAAAGCTTTTCCTGTGTTAGGGGAAACATGACACCAGGGGAAAGAAAGCAGATCTGTCTGGGAGAGGCTGGATGCCCAGCTGTGGAAGTTCAGAGGAGGGAAAGATTAGGGAGAGTTCAGAGCAGCCTAGTGGAGAAGGGTGCCTTTGAACTGGACCTTGGGTGAAGGTCAAGTAGGATTTGGGTCCAGGGAGATGGGGGAGGAGCATTTCAGGCAGAAGGATCAAGGATAACCTGAGCCAGAGTCATGTGTAGGGGGCTGTGCACCCTTCTGCAGCACAGGCACCAAGAAGCAGGGAGAAGCTTGAACAGGAAGTCCTTACCTGGGAGTCAGAAGTTCCATTCTTTACTGATACTTTAAAATTCACAGTTTCTACTGTGATTCCAACTGGTTTTCTCTCCCAGGTAGCTAAAACCTTTGACGGTTTACGATTCGTCTGAGAAATTTTTTAGGACAAAGCAACTCTATCTCAGTACTTCTGGGGTCCCATAGATGTTCTGTTAAAAAAAAAAGAAAAAGAAAATGTTATGGTCAAACAAACCTAGAAGTTGGTGTTTACTGCATCACTGTCTTGGAGTCACAATGCACGTATGTTTAACTAAAGGCTCTGAGACACCCCGCGGTTAAAGAAAAAAAGAGTCTCCCATTCCGTTCTCTGCACTTCTTTGCCCACAGAACACTTTTCCGAATGTTAACACCAGTGAAACACTTGGGAAATTCAGACATAGTTTGAATTTAAAGACAAAAACACAGAGAAATCTCCTTCCATTCTTATGTAGATAATGTCACTGATCAATCCTGATCTTAGAGTCCCCAAGTGTGTCTGTTTTCAGAGCCCAGAGACCTGAGTCACTTCGTACGCTCAGCTGTTGTCCTGGAGACATCCTTTCCCTTCTCCTAAAGATGTGCCCCTACAGCATGGATTCTCTGCAATTTCAGGCCTCAAAGGACTTCACTAATCAAGAGACAGGCAGCCCCAAGAATGCTGTCACCATGCCATTGGACCTGTCCCCAATGTGGGGAGTTGAAACTCCAACCATGTCCCAGACAGTCTCCGCAGTGAAGAATTAAAAACAAAAAGGCCAGAGCGATTTTATAAAAATTGTCCGCACACTGTGCCGCTTTCTTTCCTCTCCTCCCTGAAGCGCAGGCTGGCTGGCCTCACCCAACTATCTGCAGCCTGGTAGCAAATCTCCTGGAATTGTCTTTCGCTCCACGCACATGTTCAGTTTGTGCAAGCTCTCCCCCCGATTCTGTTCCTGATTAGCTCCTCATTCTTTCTTACACATATGGTGGTTCAAGGAAGACCACATTCCACCCTCTCGCTCCAAACTCTCCCAGCTCGGCAAAACTTTCCGTTTTGTCTTTGTTCTTATCACACTGAAAAATGCACTGCCTCTCAAGCCAGTAGTTTTCTGCGCTTTGGTCAGGGCACGTGCTCACCCAGCAGCCAGGGGAATGGCAGAGCCTCCTCCGTCTTGTGATGTCTTTGGCACACGTTACTGAGACTGTCGTGTCCTCATGGAAATCTTCACGGGCCCTACTGGGCCAAGTGCGTGTGCCAGTGGCATTTCTGGAACATTCTAAGCCTGAAACACCCGTCCCTCTCACCCACGTAAGTAATCTTGGGGATTACAGCACGGATACAAGAAAAACAGCTTCTAACGTTCCGGGAGCTTCCCTGTAGTCGTGCAATGAGGTTTCTTTATTAAACGGCCACTTTAGAGGTGCCTAACTGCAGAGGCCACAAAGGGAGCTCCTTTCCCAGAATCTACTCATCAGTGAGGGTTCTGCGTCTGGACTTTAGGAAGTGACGGATGAGATTTAGGGAGCTGTAACCCCCTGATATTATGTGCAAAACTCTGGGTGTAAGTACCTCTGGGGCTTCTTCTGGAGAGAGGTTCCCTGGCTTTTGTTAGACCCCCAGAGGAATCTGAAGGCCAACGAAGCAAAGGTAGGAAACTGCGGGCAGACCACAGCCAGCCCTAGATACCCCCAGATATGTACAGTTGTTCATTTGGTTTTAATTTTAACCTCTTGCTAACACATATAGACTAGGCTATTTTATCTTTTAAAAAATCCACCTGCCCACCTTCTCTAGAAGTAATTGGAAAGCTGGGTGGCTGTGAGCAGGCATTCCTGCACGGCAGCACCAGGGCAGCGTTTAGAGTGCCACCCACCCTACAGACCTCAGTCCACGCTGAGGGGACCTTGCTCACTCATGATCCCAGCCTGGGCTCTCAAGGTGCTGTAGGTTTTGACTCCTGTGTTCCAGACTAAGAAGCAGTTATCTGTGGACTCGCAGCACATCACTTAGCTTTGCTAAGCTTTTAATGTGCAATAGCAATAGCTTTTAATGTGGCCCTAATAGAAGTTTTATCTAATTGATCTAACATTACTATTCAGGTAGCAGAACACTGAGTAGCTCTTTTTTAAAAAAATTCTGGTCATCTAGAATTTAAAAAAAAAAAATCCAGATGTTTTTAGGGCCCAGCTGATACATTCTGGCTGGGTCCACTGACGGTAATAGCAGGAAGTTGGTCAGTTTTCTACTTTGCTTTGTATCATATTGACGCTGCCTGATGTATGCTGCAGGAGACTGCCCTTTAATGCCAGGCACACACAGTAGATTTTGGCGGAAGGCATAAGGAGACACGCTTATTTTGCCAGAGGGTTAGAACTCCCACGGAAAGCCCCGCCTTTAGTAAAGGTGCCTGGACGCACCTCCAGCCTGGAGGAAAAGATCCTTAGGGAGGCAGGACCATGCTGAGCTGTCACACCGCAAAGACTCTCTTGCTCCCGCTACCTCCCCCTTGCCTTTGGAGCTACAGCATCTTGAATTCTCAAGGCTTGGATTGAAATACCCAGCTCCCCATTTCAGTCAAATCCAGGGCTCACTTGAATCTTAAGGGGACTGCATCTCCAGTGGATCCCAAACCTTTGGGGGTTTAAGTTGGTCTGCATTTGGCAAGTGACACTTCCTGTTTCTAAGAAAAATGGCTTATGATGGCTTACAAAAAAGACTCCAGGAGCTTTTGGACTGCGAAACGGCTCTTGCAAAACAACATGTGGATGATTTACGTGTAAATGAATCAGAAACATGTGGATTAAATTTCCTTGTGAATACAGATGGGTTTAAAAATTAACGGAAAAAGTGTTTGGCAAAATACTTTTTTTAAAAAAATTGAATTGAAAATGCCAGGGCTGGGGTAGGGGAAGCAGAGGAACGTGGGGCGCACAGGGCTCACAGCCTCACCTGGCCTTCCGACGTCTACTGCAGGATTTGTGGTAGTTGGGGCTCGCTTACCAACAAAGGCACATTCTCGCAGACGTGAGAGTTGGGAAGTTTACAGGGTCACTTCCTAGATGCAGTCACCACTGACAAGGACATTCATTTAAATTTAGAATTGCCAACAAAAAGAAAGCAATGACTTCCTCTCTCTGCCTGACAGGATGTTAAGCCATCATTGGGAGCCAAAGATGGCTGCCTCTTGCTTCTAATGTAAGCATCGCTCTCATCTCCACATACTTCAAAGTTGCCATCCGGAACGCTGCACTCATCCCTTTATTCCTCATACCCATCCTGTGAAGTGTTCCATATCGGATGGTACCTAGTTCATATGAGGAAACACAAGCCCGGAGAAATTAAGCAGTTCGCACCGGTCACACAGCTAATTTAGCGGCAGAAGTTAAAAATAACAGCAGCCCACCTCTATTAACTAGGAGCTGATCCGGGCTAAGCACTTCGCACTGGTGGTTTCATTTAAATCTCCAACAACCCTAACAATATCACGGCCCTTGCAAATACCGATACGCTGCATTTCTAGCTGAGGAGGCAGAGAGGTGCAAGGAGACAAGCAACTAGCTTGGGCGGGGGGCGGGGGGGGGACATACCCAGCAGGCAGAAAAGCCAGGGGTGGAACGCTGTCAGATTCCATGCTTTTCTAAATACAGCTGTGTGTGGGTTCCTAACACGGCTTTGCAAGAGTTTTGATTATCCCATACAGCCTTCCCTTTGCCTAGGATCTCTCTTTGGCTTCCCTAGGCTACAGTTTTCTAGGGACATGGTCAGACCATTCCAGAAACCCTGAGTGAAGCAGTGGCACAGAAGACATTCTGCGTCCGCATCCTCCAGTGAACAATGCCTTCTGGAGCCAGTATCCCCTTCTCCCAGGCCTGAGGACCTAAATGGAGTCACTCAGATCACTGCTCTGAGCCTCCGTCCTCATGCTCACACAGAGCACAGGCAGAGCCACGGGTTGTGGCAGAAACTACTGGCTGTTACAATGGACCAGTTTTTTATCGTATATTTTGGAAGCGAAGGGGAGGGGAAAAAAAAGAGTGACAAACTGAAAATTCTCACTATTTTGCAAGCGTTGGGCTGCAACTTTCCCAGCAGCATGCAAACTATGTGACTTTCCAGTTACGTTTTAAAATTGAAATCAGATTGGGAGGGACGCTTAGGATCTTCTTTTCTGTTAAAGACACATACACATGCTGACATACTATCATTCTTAATAAAGTACATGTATATTTTATAAGAAAAACTCCTTCCAGGGAAGATGAGAAAGCACATGTGTGGCTAATATTCAACCAACATAGTGGCGTGTGGGTGTTTTTTTTCCATCTTTTTTTTTTTTCCCCTCTTTCAGTGAGAAGTTTGGATGCAAAACCATTTACTCTTTGTCTTCTCTTTTCACAGCGATATCTGGCATGATTGTTCCTCCCATGTGAAAGAATTGCCTTGAAGAATTTTCTTAATGAAGAGGTTGGATTCTGCTACAGAAAGTAATCTGATACAAGTCCCAGAGTGGAACTTTTAACTCAGGCCTTTTTAAGAGGAATCACAATAACTGCAGATTTTTAAACAAACAATATCACCGACCTTGCAAATACTGAAATTGGAAGGGATCTGCTAATGCAGGGTGTTGGTTACAGTTGTACCTCCCAAGTCCTTGGGGGGATATATTTATTCTGTGTTGATAAAAGCAAATCCTCTTTTTCTTTCTCTCTCTCTCTTTTTTTTAAAGCTCAACTCGGCAATCATTTGTCTTTTATAAACCATAAAGCTGTATACAAGGGACACTATAAATAAGACTCCATGTTTTAATTTATGATGTTTTTAAAGCTGTGTAAAAGGAGAATGAAATGGTGATATTTACAAAAAAGTTCAAAAAGAAAAAAAGAAAAAAAAAAAGCTTGTATGGGACAGAATAGGAATGCCAGTTAGATTTTTTTTAGAAAACTAAGGGTCGGCTTTTGCGCCTTAAAGCATATCAAGTGGTAGTTACTCGGACAGTGCATTTCCAATATCTTAACTTAACACGCCACCCCTTAGCAGTGCAAGCTTATTTCTCTCTTTTGTATTGTTGTCTTAAGTAACTGTGTAAATAAATGCAGCCTGGAAAGTTAAAAAGTGATGTAAGTGATCACATTTTCCCCTTCTACTCAAAAATCCAGTGCCTCTAGACAGATCTTAAAACTGCATATTTAAACCTGACAGCACTCTCTCTCTCTTGCTTATGTCAACTTCTTCGGAAGCCGATGGCCTCTCGAGAGCTTGGTGGCACACGTGCTGTGTGAGAATCTCCTTTGAGACTTCATGGAACAGGGTCAGGCACAGAATTCCACATTATGCCCTCCAGTTATCAACCCCAAATCCCACTTACACTCCGCCATTTACGTGGTTAAAGTTTACTCATCCTAAATGCTGACTTCATACCAATCCTTCAAAAGCTGACAAAAGCAACATGGCAGGTATTTCAGATTTCCCATCCGAGATAGCGCCTCTATCAGTCGACCCGTACCATTTGTAACATAGTAGATTGAAACGACAGGTTAAGTGCTTTGGAATTAAGAATAAAAGGAAACTGGGAGAAAGGAGAAGAAGGTTGAGATCTCCAAAACATGGTTTTATGTTTGATGGGAATTTTTGCTCTCATTATCTGGGAAGTGTTCTTAAAAATAGGAATTAATAGCAAAGATGCAGCAAAGCTCTGAGGATGCATTTGCCTGATATTTTTTTCTTTGCTGTTGTGTTTTGTATGTAGTTATAAATACTGTAGATTTTTTGTGATTTTTTGCCAAAGTTGTTGTTCTATTTATACATTTTAATGTCTTAAGACAGTTTTTCAATATCACAAAAAAAGATTTTACTGCATATTTTGCAAAGAAAAAAAAGCTCACTACCTTTAGCTTGCACATACTTGCAAAGTTAATTAAAAGGCTTTTTGTTTTAAAGGGGATTTTGTAAGATATCCATATAAATAATGTATTTATCTTTGGAATTTGTACATTGCTTTCCCCTTCCTCCTTTTCCTCCAACTCCCAGTTTATTTTATTGTGTATGTTTGCTATGTGAAAAGTGCGTATTTGTTTGGCCACCTATAGTTATATTAGCTATTTCAATGTGATTTTTAAACATTTCATTTATAGTTATTTTTAGTATTGTTTTAAACCATGCTTCATTTTTTTAATTTTCACCCAAAAGCCATTGTCTATTTTTGTATTATTTGTAAGTTAAGAAGTTTTTTCCAATATATGGCAAAAAATAGTAGCATATTATTCTTGTAGCATTTAGTTCTGTAGATTAAAAAAAATGTATCCTTTGCTTTGGAAGCTTACAGAAAAAAACCCTAATGCTGTTTTACTCTATTAATATGCATGGAACCTCTCCCTTTGGAGTGACGCATTTTGTGCATTAAATTCCGGGGAGAAACTTCATAGAAATCAATGAACATACTTTCTTTCCTAAGTCTGCTTGTATATTTCCTCTGTCTTTCACATAAATATAAACCAGCAGATTGGATGCCTTAACAATGCAAATCATATTCATTTCACTTGTACATTGTAACTGTGCACCAGAACTGTCAGTCATCACTAACATTCTAAGAAAAAAGAAAAAGAAAAAAAAGAAAAAAAAAAAAAAACAAAGAAATCGAAAAGCACAAAAGAACTGTTTTGTTACCTTAAGACAATGTAACTTTTTCTAGTAGAGCAAGAAATTTACAACAATGCTGCAACTGTGCATGCCCCCATATGGATTTTGCAATGGTTTTCACTAGACTGTCAGAGTGCGATTTTTATGGGTTGGGGAGGGTGGGGGAGGGGTGTTGCGGGAGGGAAGGGAGGGGAGCAAAGCTGATTTTTCTTGGTGAGAAATAATAATAATGATTAATAATAATAATAAAACTGGAAAACGTAAGCAAAGTGGACGCGTTGCTTCTCGGTACTCAGAAAGGTGGTCTGAATTCGTGTGCTAAGCGCTGGCCTGAAGATGTGTACAATTTAAAGCCATATTTTGTCTGGTGAGCCCCTTAACTGTTTGTGAAGGACCCGGGTCAGCCTGTGAGGTGTCGGGCTCAGACCTTGACAACAAACGCCACCCACTGTCAGCCATGTGTAGTGGTTAGAAGTTTTCTTGAAAGTCCAAAGAGCCTTTAAAATGTGTATAATTTGTGTTTTGTTGCCTCTATTGATACTGATTAGATGAAAAGACGTTCTGGCCCTCTGACCCTCTCTCTTCTACACAGAACTTTTTACAAGTAAAAGATGTTACCCTAAATACAGAATATGGCTTTAAGAAGAAAATGAAATAGCGAATTCAATTAAGATTTCAGTTGGGGGCGGGGGGGTGGGGGGTGGGGGGTGGGGGGGGTGGAATACAGCTTCTGGATGACTGGATTGCAGAACATGCCCTGGCCTCACATTGTACTAGGATGCAGCTTAATGAAGTCATCTCTAAATCTAACCTTTCACCTTCTTCTCAAACTTTTGGAATAGACACACACTGTACAGTTCAATTGTTAGAGAACCTAACTACTGTAGAGATTGTTATAATTTTTTTTTTTTTGCAAACATTCAAGCTGTAAAAACTTTTCAACTTTCACAATATTTAATTAAAGTTACTTCCTGTCTGTGATGGCAGCTCCTAGTTGTGTATTCATTTCTCTATTTCAGATGAGTCCGAGTCCAACATAATGTAAAAGGTCTGTGTTTGCAATTACTCAGGACAGTGCTGACACCCAGAGAAAAGCAGCAAGAGTAGTCTGGGGACACCCACTTTCCCTCTTTGTCAATCCTTGGGGATTTGCTAATCTGGGATGCAAATTGAACACACACAGCGTACTGCTGCCCTCTGCTGGCAGCAGCTGGACGCGCAGTGCCCATACTGGCCCAAGGAGAGGCCAAGAGCCCCAAAGATTACATTAGGCGAGCAATGAGATCCCCCGGAAGTGACTGAATTATGAATCCAGGATCTGGCCACTCTGGAAAGCCATCCTCCGTGCTGCAAGTCTGAACCAAGCTCTTCACATACGTCTGCTAATTAATCCCAGCGAGACTTCTGGTCAATTAATTATGTGCCCTGGCTCATTGATGAGGAGGCATGTGTGAACACAGAAACTTCTATGATCTATAGTTTTAAATCCCATGTGGATATGACACTTTTCCTGTTGGATAAAACCAAATTTATCTGGTGTCGGGCTTCCCTGGTGGGGTGTCGGGCTTCCCTGGTGGCGCAGTGGTTGAGAGTCCGCCTGCCGACGCAGGGGACACGGGTTTGTGCCCCGGTCCGGGAGGATCCCACATGCCGCGGAGCGGCTGGGCCCGTGAGCCATGGCTGCTGGGCCTGCGCGTGCGGAGCCCCGGCTCCGCAACGGGAGAAGCCACAAAAGTGAGAGGCCCGCGTACCGCAAAAAAAAAAAAAAAAAAAAAAAAAAAATTTATCTGGAGTCAAACATTCTACAAACACCCAATAGGTCCCTGCTCCAGTAAAACGATTTCACTTTAAGTTCCATCATCATCATAAGGCTTTCCAATTGCACATTCAATGCTTTCCCTACTTTTGCAATTACTGGATAGAATAAGGTTAATGATGCTTGTAAAATGCCTTGAAAACTCAGCAAATAGGCCATGGACCAACAGAAACTTGATGACCAGAGCTAACAGGTCGTCCTACAACCACCATCACGATCATTTGTAAGTGTGCATTGCTGATACACTTTTGCTCTGGATAGAGCCCAATCTGAGGTAATGAAAGACGGTAATGAATAAGTTAATAAGTAGAGAAGCTACTATCTTTTTCTTTAAAAGAAATCTATGTTGATTAGTTTGGTCATACAATATACATTTTTGGAATGCTGTATCAGGTGCAGGTCTCCGTATTAGATGCAGAAGATCAAAAAAAGAATGAACAAGAGGCCCCTGCCCTCAGGACACTCATAATCTCAGACAAGAGAAATCTATACTCAAAGCAGTTTAGAATGTTTAGGGCAAAACAGTCATGTCATAATGCTCCACAGAATAAAACAGATATCCACACGTCTACATACTGGTTTCTACTTTCCTTAAGGCCTATTTCCTGGAAGCATCCATTCATTCATGTAGACCTTGAGGGTTTATTGTACATCTGGCACCAGGTGAGGCCTGGTGGATTCTATAACAAGCGCTGCAACACCGATCCTCCCCTCACGGATCTTACAGTTGAGCGAGGCAAGGAGACATTAAGCCACTGTACAAGTCTAAACTAACAAACCGATGATGGCAAAGAAGAAGTCTAGAATGCTCTGAAAGTATATTACAGTGGGATCTGATTTAACCTGTAGGGTTGGGGAAGGTTTCCAGAGAAAGTGACACCTAAGATGATATGTGAAGGATGAGGTAAGCAGGTGGGGTGGGCACCTTAAGCAGAGGGAAT